GGGGGGGGGGGGGAGAATAGGAAATAAAAAGAGAGTGATAAACAGAACGCTGATGATAAATTTGGTAGGGGAGAACTATCATGCATTTTACACCACAATTCGGAGTGTAGTTAAAAAGGTTTGTTGGTTGGAAAAATTGAAACTACCATATTGAAATGTGGATGCGCTCAGGTAAGTTGTAAGCGATGGAACATTGTGAGTGTCTGTGTGCCAGCCACCGGTGTGTAAGTCACAAACAAGCCACGCGGACAAAACGCCCGTAAGTAAGCATTTACATAGACATACGTATACAATGGTATATCGGCTACGCGTATGTGCATGTTAATATCAAGTCCAAATTGTGGCGAATACAAACGAACAATATACGACAAAACACGTGATGCACAAACGACACACGAGTTGTACATTTGGACCAGACTCGTGGCATGCATCAAAACATGAACCAAGAGCAGAAAGGTGCACAAGAAAGTTCGGAGCACTTGTGGCGTATGTGGAAAAACCAGGTCACAAATCGACTTACCAGATCGACTGGGAAAATGGGTTTCATTATCCTCCTCATCCGCTAGGATGGGTGGGGATGACAAAATCATGAGTGTGTACGTGCGACAAGCGTTTGCTTCACAAATAACTATCCTCAGATGGTGACTGAATTTCAAGAGTTCAACAATGCCGTTAAGATTTCACTAAGCGGAAAACGATAACAGGGAGAATATTTGTTACCATACCCAGATAAAAGGGTGCACAACCGTTTTGTAGATGTTCGGACGATATGCGAGGATAAATATGAAAAATTGACTGGTATAATCAAAATCTGACATGGTGCTCACATATCGAATGGCTACCGACAAATGCAGAATGCCAAACTGGTTTCGTTTGCTACCAGCGTGAACGTTTTGGTCAAAGCAGTCAATGATCGAACATGACGGACGGACGGAGTTGATAATTACCACCAACAGAGTCTTGGGTGGAAAGAAACGCAGCGTGGACAGCAGTTGGAACAGATCAACGCTCAGTACTATTACTTGAAGCGAACAAGAAAACACCTGATAGTTATGAAACCCCATATTAAGAGCCCAGTGCGTCATGTTTATTGTGATTGACCGGTGAGGTCAACCTCACATATAGCAAATTTTCTTAGTTGTCCGTCAAGGGTGGAGTGGTTGTTGCAGGAATCCGACTAGTGCTTCTGCCCGCTACAGAAACGGGACCATCGTCATCCTCATCGCACAGGAGAATACAATGAAGTGAACTTCACTGACTACTGCCCAACTCCTAAGACATAAAAGGTGAGTGAGAATGTGTAAGGAGGATTGGGACTATTGTGGGAGACAGGGAAAGATCGCGAACCTCTGTGAGCAAACAAAGAATACACAGTCCAACTGTGCGTACACACTATTTCCGATATTCTGGTCCGATAAGAAGGGAAAACAAGAACGTCACTGCTTTTGATTCGCTGCCATGACCTTCACTGTCTCCAATCAAATAACTGCAGCCTTTCGAAAGTGAGAGATACCTACTCTACCTAATCGCTCTGTGGATTTCTTCATGCTTCGTCTCCACACCCTCCCTTGACCTCCCTGAGATTTCCTCTAGCCTCTAGTGGCTACAGCGAAAGAGGTGTGATACGGAAACGATATAAAGATAAACTATGAATGTTTGAACATGCTACCTACGCCGCATTGAGGACAAGCTCAATATCTCAAAACGGAAGTGTGATTCAATTGAGCAGTTTTCCGATTTCACTGGGAAATAAAGCAAAGGGTTTTACGACTTATTTTGAAAACCAGCCATGTTGCGGTGGCAACTAAAATTTTTTGTAAACGGCACGCTCAAACACACACAAAAGCTCTCACTCCAGCTTCGGACAAAAAAGACAGTGATCGTAGTTGTTAGGTGAAAAACTATCACCGAACATGCATTTGGACACAACGTACGTACATAAGTCCACATTGAAGTATCGAGATCCTTCAATGTATGGCTGCCTAAAGAGAACGAACTGGCCTGTTCGGATCCATCATGTGACATTAGACGTATGGATAAACAATCGTATAGTTACCCGTTTGTGTGCTAAGAAAAACCAGAAAGTTCTCATGATTTGTGCAAAAGATACAATACAAAATTGTACATGTACACCAACGGAAATGAACAGTGTCGACAAGCAACTGTCTCCGAAATCTGATATTGGACGCTGCGAAACAACTATATGAGCATGCAAACTTACTTCCACCTTGGAACAAGCCCAATGAAGGCAAATTCAACTGGATGAAGAATTCGTGATGAGAAAGAACGGTGAGCAGTTCGAAACGCAGTTCATTCAACCGATCTATCTCTTCCACTGGCTGTGTTGAAAAAAATGGACGGGGGATAAGCAAGCAATCTGTTTAGCATGAAAATAGATGTACGTGTAATACAGTTAAGATATGAGTGAGAAAGTATTAAAAACCCGAAGCAGTATGTCACATTCCCCCAGAATTCGCAGACAGTTACGAACAAGGATGATAATAAGCTTGCGCATTACTTTCAAACCTTAATACCCAGAAAGACCAGGACAGTTCCAATGCAGTGTGTGGATTCTATTCCAGCTGTGTAAAATGTATTCGTCAAGGAGTTCGAAAACTGTTTGAGGGCGTGAATAAATATTTCGATCATGGCTCTCAGAAGCACTCGAACCGCGCAGGGAATATATTTCTTGTAACCAAAGAAACGACGTTGCAACTCGATTCTAAACAGTTCGAGTGGGTGAAAGTTTTGCTATTAACTGGCACAGTAGGTCAGTTACTTCGACAGTTATTCAGTAACTTGCATTGGGTGACGTACCAGCATAAAGTGAATCACGGATAACAGCAAACAATGGGCAGGGGTTATGTAGCAAAAAAGTTAATAGGTTTCGATATCCCCCCCTATCGGTTATCAAGACTAAGTCCTGCAACACTCATACCTACTGCCCTGATGGGAACGTTTCAACGCCTATATTTTCAAAACTACCGGTATTCCTATAACCTGAATATTGTTCCGTGTGAAAAATTGAAAAATAGGGGAGTATCTATGGTTTTGTGAATGATATACCGTAACTACTTCAATCACAGTCTGTCGACACACAGTAGAGCATACCTCTGTGATAACATTGAATAACACCTCTAGAGTGCACAGCGCAACCGCCAAACAGAAGACATCGAGTATATTCAAAACACAACAGCAAAGTTTCACAGGTATTTAATTAAATGCCACTATGTGATTATTTATCTATACATCATTTATCGTGGTGGGGCCATAAGTTGGTCTCATTTGACGAAAAACAATTGAGTCTTGTGGAAAAAGACATTGGTTGAAACGACTGCTGAGAGACGTGTGGCTCATTCAGAGACACTTATCACTACCGTATAAATAATTTTTTGTGCTCACCATCTACAGGCACACATTACCAAATTATCACGAAACCCGGACAAATTCATTAGTGTCAATCAGGTCGGTCATAACGCCATTTGCAAACAGTAACATACCATTCGGGGTAATATTTCCAAAAAGATCATTAAATCCCGAACGCGTTGCATTATATAACCCCGGTCCATTAGGTTGAACAAATGAGACAAGAACCGAGCGGTACTGGCCATGACTTCCAGTCCATGAAATTCACAGGTAACTGTAGGCGTTGATCGTCGCTGAGCAGACGGACGGGATATGGAACTGTCACGGCTGCCACTGGTCTTTCGTGGCAATCCTACAGCCTCCTGTGATGACGTGGAGTGACGATATTGTCCAGCCCCATCCTCTGACGCGTTCGGAGAAGTCCCTGGGGCTTTTGTCGGCACACTGCGCACAGAGAGGCGGGCAACCGAGGATTGCGAAATCNCGCGGAGTTCATCGACGGCGCAGACACACCCGATGCGGCTGGACGACGAGTTGGAGCGAGACCGTTTATGAGCCATTGATTGCTACCAGCTGTGTTCAGATAGGAACCGATGAGCTTGATGAGCAACGCCAGATCATCAGAGAAAGCAGACGGGAAA